CAAAAAGGAGGTCAAAACAGAAATGTCATGCATATACTGCCAGAAGAACTTTCACGCCGCATGTGCCAATCTATCGATTAGGAAGATGAAACAGATGCTGGCACAACAGGACTGTTTTTGGTTTTGAAGTGATTGCACGAAAACTCCGGTTGTAAAATACATGATGGGTATTGAAAGTGGGTTCGAGAAGCTACTATTAGCTGCAGAAGATAAAGCTAACTTAAAAATTTCAGAATTAGAAGAAAAGATAGCTACCCTGAGCTCCCAGATCCCTCGGTCGAGCCCAATCCAACGACCGGTTAAACGTCCAAGGTGTTCGTTAAATAGCACCGCTCCAACGCAATGTATGACCTCTGCCGCCATAAACATGGTTTCCACTGTCACGAAAGACGCGGTAAAAGTTCCTGAACAGAAAAAGGTTCTCCTTCAAACGAAACCCGTCATGTCCGCACCAATGACTTCGATACTGGGGAAGAAAAGTGGGAGCAGCATCGCCTTGACAATTATCTGCACAAATGTACCCGAACCGACAACCCAACCACTTATGGAACGACAAGGAGAAGAGATGGAACACTGGAAGGGTTTGTGCGCGCAGACGGGTATTATTGTTCTACTCGTCGGCCTCACAAGACTCATGCGCCAGCCGACGTCGCCACGTGCCAGGGAACCCTGACTGCTCCGGGTGACTCTGAAAGATGACAATGACTTGAAGGACGTTCCTCTTTCTAGTCACCTTCTCAGGTCCTAGTGACCCCGCTAACTACCGACATGTAACCCTGCTTCAGGTGTTATCGAAAGTCATGGAGTCAGTTGTGGCAGATCCTCTAAAAATACAACATTCTTTCGACAGCTCAACACGGGTTTCGGTAAAAGCGATCCTGCTCCACCAACCTGCTTCTTGTTCGAGATGAATAGACCAAAACAGCCGACGAAGGGGATGCGATTTAGCTCGACTTCTCGAAAGCATTTGATCGGGTGAATCACAAAGTTTTGCTGCAGAATCTCTACAATTATGGCGATCAAGATTTCCCGTTTGATTGGACTAAAGCATTCCTCGAACAACGGACCATATCAGTTCGTGTTTCTGATTCCACATCCGGATCTATCGACGCCACCAGCAGTGTTCCACAAGGGTCCGTACTCGGTCTCCGGCTGTTCCTCGCATTCATAAATGATCCAACGAGTGTTAGGCCCCAAAACAATACTGTTTGCAGACGACGCCAAAATCTAGAATACAGTAATAGAACCCGAAGGCTCTCTAACGCTTCAGGAATCACTCAACGCAGCTTATCAATGGTCTGAGGAGAACGACATTGAACTTAATGTTTCTAAACGCAAAGTCCCTACGCCACAAGAGAAAATTCTCGTGTTTCCTCGGGGATCAGCAGCTACCACTTACTTCTAGTGAAAAGGACTTAGGTATTGTTGTTCAAGAGTATTTAAGCTGCTCCAGCAATTGTGCTAAGGCTTTGTCCGCTGCTGTGAAGAATGTCGGCTTACTTCGACCGATTTGAATCATCACTATTCCCACGTTTGCTATCAGTGTATTTTCGACCCTACACGGAGTACGCCATCCAAGTCTGGAGTCTATGGCTTCAACTTGATCGCAAGATGCTTGAGCGTCTACAAAGGATGGCCACCAAGATGGTCAAGGGATTGCATTACCTGATATATCAGAAGAGATTACGATCATTGGGAATATGTTCTGCTCAGTACCGCCGAACTCGGGGGGACTTGATTTTGACGTATCAAATACTGCAGAACCCAAACCATCCGTGTCGATCGCCGATCATGTTATCGAACAATGTGCACCTGAGGGGACACCGTTTCAGGCTACTGATTCCAAAGTGTCGAGTGGAATGCCGGCGCCAGTCCTTTGCAGTCAGAGTATGCAGTTTTTGGAACGCCATTTCATCTCATATTGTTTGTGCACTCACTATTGAATTTGTCAAGCAGAAACTCGATGAAACCTTGGCACATCTCACATTCGTACACCACTAAAAGTAAACGCAAATTCACTGTAGCCTACATTCTCTAATATCTCCTACCCGGAACTCTGTGACTTCTTTTTCAGTGTAACGATTCATCTGTGTGAATATCCTATGGGGACAAGAGAAGCACGGGCTTGTAAGTTATTCCCATAATAAAAGTTTGACTTTGGATTGCGACCAATCAAACCAGAAAGACGGTGGTGGCGTAAGTTGAACACATGGCCTCGGAATCGCTGATATGATCACACTTGACGACATAGAAGCAGTAACGCTGAATTATCAGCACTGGGAAAAAATTTGATAATTAACATTTTATGAAGATTACAAAGTAATTGTTTCTTCGAATCTCCTTCAATGTACCCCGTTCATTAAGATAAAGGCGACTGAGGTGAACATAGCTCACGTTACCATTTCAAAACTATAGGTATTGACCAAACTCGTGCAACATCCTGATTTTCATCACATTTGTTCCTCTCAATGCTTTGTTTTTCCAGCCTCATTCACGGGATTGAATATGGTAGTGCCCCACATCAGACGCAACATATCTGACATAATACCCAATTATGTCACTGCCTCTGTTAGCCATATGCCATTAAAATGTAGAATTTCGCGATTTCGACGACGGTTGCTGGCGTATCAGCTGTAAGATAACAAAGTCACAGTAGAGAATGTAACTTTAATTTAATTATTAAAATGACTCCTGGACTTTATACAGGTATTGCGCTTTCATCTCATTCATGTTCCATTTGCCCTCCTTCATTTTTGAGCACTGCAGGCAGTCTCTTTAGCATGGAATCCACCAAGTTGACTGCCAAACAGAATTTGCAAGTTTCCTCTAGTACACCGCACACCCTTACCACTGGTGACCAATGGCAAGGTAGCCAACTTATCCCTGTTTCAGATAGAAGGAAATGTTTTCGATTAAATTAAAATCCCAGCTGCTGCGCGGTAATCCAACGAATTCGACATTGAACTTGACCCCTCTAGAAACTGCATAAACGTGAAAAAATAATATTTATTTAGGTCTAACCGTTTTCTGCCACCAACCTCAAGCGAGCTGATATACCAAACTTCATGTGAAAAGCGAGACTTCCGCGAATGCATGTTGGGAGTGACAGTTTTCAAAAACCTCCCTTATCAGTGCAAGAAATTTTGCTGTGTCCATGTTGGTGTATGAAGGAGACCAACAACAATGCGCTCAATATTCACTTCTCTTCCAATTCGCTAGGCGGGATATTTACTTCTTTTGACAGATAAAAAGATATTCATCAAAAAACTAACCCAGTAGATCAGCTTTCACAGTATGCTGAATTACGCGTTGGCCACCAATGAGATAAACCCATTGCTAAATGGGCAGGCGACGCGAGTTGAATTTGCTGGCAAAATCAATACGCTCTATGCTTTGTTGGGCGTTCAATAACGGCTTTATGTCACGTGGTCTCAGCTGTATTTTAAATTGGGTCACCATTTTCCAATAGAAAACGTAGGGGGGGGATAACTAATCAGCCCGGACTGTCCTCCAGATCGGTTTTGAGCAACTCTTCTCTGTTGCGATCAAATACAACCATCATCTTACTTTGATATGGCTGGTTTTCTCCCTCTCGGTTTATGTCTTAATGGAGAAATTTCGTTGAATGTTATAACTTGGACTTATGTTCAAATTGAAGCACTTCCACAAGACGCCAAATGAATCATCAGATTTATGTGCCCCTCGGCTTCAATTATATGCCAAAACCTTTGGAAAGTTTCATCCGGTTTGGGCCTGGGGCGGACGTGAACGATGCATGCCCCTCCCCCAAGCCATTTATGCGATAATAACTAAGTTACTAATAAGTAGTATATATGAAAAAGACTCAAGCCGCGGAATATTACCCACTGAATAATGATAGAAAAATATCAAAAGCAACAATAATTACACTAATAATAATAATTAAATGTATGAAAGTATGACTAAGAAATAATGAAAATTTTTTTACAAAGGATAAATCTGTTTTGTATGGTCCAGAAATGTAGATATATCGTCCGGAAATGTCTCGTATGAAAAAGTAAACCTTAATCTGTATTGTACCTCATCTATATAGATGATTCCAAATCATCTCACCAACGGATCCGTGCACGTTCTTCAATCTTTTCTTTATACGGCTCCAAAATGCCTCAACATTGATTGTATGCACGCCGCTGGTAGGGTCAATAAATCCAACAGAGTGATTTACAGTTGAATGCACATAACCGAGTGAAATGATGGTGCGATAGGCTGCCCATTATTCACTATGGATTGTCGTTCCTGGAACAATCCCATTGTTGTACGATGGGAATTAGGGTGTTAGCAGAACGACCAGGAACCCGTTGATAATAGCCTTTCTTTTGATTCCGATCGTACATACCAAACATCCAAATGGTGGAATGCGGTCTTCCTCTGCCGAATTTGTTCTTGACCGCAACTGTTTCATCCACCTCCACAACAGTATTGGGTCCTCCCAGTTGTGTGGTCATTGAACACATCACTGAAGAGCATATATCCTTGCAATATGTGCACCACTGTATGGCACTTTTCATGCTCACTTTAGCCATGACTGCTTCACGCGTCATAGGTTCCTCCATGACGAAATAAACAATGATTTCCACAAGTTTATCCAGAGGCAGATTGGACTTGGCAAAAAATGTTCCAGTACGTATGGAGCTATGCCTCTTGCATATACAGAAACGTAAAACACAGGCATCCCTGCTGCGGCTGTACTCCTGCACACGCATTAGGTGTCCACCTACACAATTTCTCCTTTGGAAGAAGACCACGATCCTGAAGGTATTCAACACAAGCCAAACCTTCGATTTGGTCAGGGATTTTATGTAGGTTTGAACGGCCCGAAATCATTTCACGGTTATTAATTAAAACAAAAAACGACCATAACCAACTCTTTGATAAGTAGTTAGAAATTACTGGTTATCATTTATTGTGGTAAAAAAAATTACATAATTTTTTTCAACGTCATAGGATAGCAAATGCGGCCTTGAGTGGAAATAAGGGGGGGGGCTGAGTGGGCATACATTGTTCACGTCCGCCGGGCAAGGTGACACTCCAACGAGCCGCACACCTCAAGGTCAACTTTCGAAGATCAACTTGTGTGTTTCTTGGACTATATTTTCAGTTCTTCCAGTATTGTAGATAATGCGTGAGTTGTTTATTGCCAAATAATTTATCAATTTACTTAAGATAGAATATTTTCATTAATTTGCTTATTTACTGTGCATTGAGTGAAAAGAGATAAGTAATTTACAATACATGTGCTCCACTTAATAAACAATCTCATGAGACAGGAATCGTCTTTTAAGAAGAATGAATTCCCATGCTGCTTTGCGTAAAATATTTTCCAAATCAGAGCAGTAACTTTTGAACTACTACAAATTTTATCGCGACACTCAAGGTCACGCAAATTCAAATGGTGACAGAAAAGAACTAAGAACATAAATGTTGGAGATAAAGTCAGTAATAAATATACTTAACTCATAGCCATCTACATATAAGTATGATACTGCAAACTGAAATGGATTTCCAAAGTGGGGGTGATGTTGCACCTGTTTGGTCAAATTCGCACTGATTATTCCATAGCGAGTAATATTCTGTGAACGAAGTTCTTCAGTCTGCGAAAATACCGCCAAACATTACTGAGTGGACTATGTAAATTCTGTATTTTTTGTTGTCACTCCGCATTATCCAGTCATTCTCCCCGCAATGAGTCACATAGGTCCCGTTAGGCTCCCTGGATGAGGAACCCGAGATCATGGTAACCGGTGGTTAGAGAATATGAGTGATATGACTGAGTGCCGCAAACAGTGGCACCCGTGCATCTACCCAATATTCTTGCAACCACAGTCCATGTGAATTCTCTATCTCCCCTTTGACTCTGCTCTCAACATTCCAATCTGCATGCTGCTCTTTTATCCAAATGGGCGGCAAAAAGACAGCAACCAAAACTGGGGCAAGAATGTGCATGATTATTGGTTGTAAAAACTGACACTGACAAAAATGCGTGTGCTTCTTTGAACTCTGACCTATTGGTAGCCAAAGCATGCACAAATTGTGTAGAAAACCATTTCCTTTTGGGTTACATTCTCCAACTATTCGAGCCAAACCGACCTTCTAACGAACAAATGCTCTGGGGATCATGCAACACCCACTTCTTCTGTGATCGTTGATGTGGGTTATCGGCCTAATTTGCCCAAAAGATCACGTGGTTATCAACTTAACCCAGTATCTCACGTACCGTTCATCCTAGTACTAACTTGAATGATATTTAAAAATCTAACCTCACGCATCTGATTCTTTTCCTGATAAATTCAATGTAATAATTAACGGCTGAAGAGATGAGTGCCGCAAGGGTTAAAATGACAAACCCACAATCCTTCACTTGTGAATGTTTAAGATGAAATCACGACAGCTCTCGCCATTAGGACAAAAAACTATATTATTTTCAAGGCACGTTACCTGTGATCATCATATCTGAGTACGTACAATTTGCGAAGCTCAAACAGCTAAATTACTTCCGCGTAGAGAATGACGAAAGTAAAGTGAACAAATTTATCAATATGGAACTACTACGTTGTTCCTTTGGCACAACAGCTATAAAAGCTGAAGTCCTGGGGTTTCAATTATGCAAGAGATAAAATCCACAACAAATGTCACGAGTTCCACATTATGACAGTATGCCGCTGCAAGGCACTTTGTGTACCGAACACAAATGATGAAATTTGTTTTTGTGTCAATCATTACAATCATTTGCAGTTTCTTTATCAAGCGAACATCGTCCTTGACTTAGAATATGCCGATGACAACGCCTTGC